TTTTTTTTTTTTTTTTTTTTTTTTTTTTTTTTTTTTTTTTTTTTTGTTTTTTTTTTTTTTTTTTGTTACGTTACTGGTGCTGTCGTGCATTTGAGCTTTGATGTTGTGTGCTGAATCGCAAACAAATGCAAAATGATAGATTAAAAGGAAAAAAACTGACGATACACGAGATTACGACAAACAAGATCTGTATACGAGTTACATCACGTGTGAGAAAGTTGTGCGAATGTGTTTTCACTGTACAGAGATGTTTAATCACTTGAGATCACGGAAACCTGATTGGCATTACTGGAACTCACCCAAATTCAAGAATAAGCGAAAAAATATAATTTTTTCATGTTAATAACAATTTATATAACATTTTCTTTGATTTTTACTCACAGGTGAAATAATAGGACAAAGTTGTTTTTTTTATTTTTTTTATTTTTTTTTTGTTTTTCTTATTTTATACTCTACTTATATTTTATTATTTTTTTTATTTATTGACTTAACACCTTTTTTGGTTATTGTAATAATTGCTTTTATTTTTGTTTTCTTTATTTTCGCTGTTGCATTCGCACGTAGAATAAGCAAAATTTGCAAAAAAATTTCAAACTGACACTTGCAGCTTTTGACTTTTGTTTGCCGATAAAACTGACGCAGCAACAGCAAGCAGCAGCTGGGGAGTAAAATTAATTTATGGACGCAAGTCTGATCTCACATTTTTATAAGAAACATTTATTTAAAATATTTTTTTTTAATTTCTCATGCCGCATTAATTTTTTGAAGTACACGAATGTACACGCGGTGGCTTCACAGAGCTTTTCATCGCTTACACCGCTTAGCATTATTTTTATGAATTTCTCCTGTCCTTTCATCCCTGAAACATAAAACAGTTGTCCTTCTCATCATCCAACAGTAAAAAAATTAAAAAAAAACTAATTATTTATACACACATGACCACATTTCACATAATTATTTCGTTGACTAATAAGTATTAATACGTAATCTCAAGTAACAATAATTAATATTCGATAGCTTCACGCAACTAATTTTGATTGTACTGTTAAACACTTTGTTTTTTTTTTTTCACAAATTAAACTCACGTTAACCCGAAGCGCTTATGACCCCCGTATACACACTCTCACACATACTTACCCATCCTCATGGAGAAAGAGCATCTTGAAAACGGCACTCGGTACAGAGCCGCAATACGAGATCACAGAGTGCCGTTTTCTCGTACCACGGCCTTTAATTTATTAATTTATTAAATTTTTTACATTTTTTATATTTTTTTTTTCATTTTTATTAAAAGAAAAAAGTAAATTAAATGGAAAAAGGAAGGAAAAAAAAACGAATTAAAGACGGAGTCCAGCTTTGTTGTAAACACTCGCCTTTCTCTTTTGTTTCTGGGCTAATTCTTTGTGGTTTTGGTTTTGTGGTGTCTTTGGTATCGTACTGGTCGACTACTGCTACCGCTACTACTACTACTACTGCTACTACTACTACTGCTACTACTACTACCGCCTACTACTACCAATACCGCACCAATACCACCACCACCACCACCACCATCACCATCACCACCATCACCATGCATTGCACCTGTGGGTTCCGATGGACACATATCAACGATGATGATGATGATGATGACGACGACGACGACGATGATGATCGTGAATCGTTGAACGGGAGCAGCGTGAGGCCACCCGCCCACAATCCGTACTATGTGACGACGTCGCACGCAGCGGCCGCCGCTGCTGTCCAGGCGAACCTGCCCCACGGCCCAGGGACCGGGGCTCACTCGGGGCACGGCTCTGGCGCCGGAGGCCCGTTCGTTGAAGTAGTGGCCCATCCCCAGGCCCAGTCAGCGCTAGCCGTTCCAGTAATGCCAGCGGGAGCCGGCCGTACCCTACACTATCACACCCACGCGGCCACACACACACTGCCACACCAGCCGCCCCTCACCTACCCGAACTGGGTGCCGTTCACCCACTTTGGCTGACCCTTGTACCGACCCGAGCACCTTGCCGACGAGCCCACCTAATGTTACCCATCGCCGTTCGAGTCTCATCAGCTCGAGCACTGACCCCAGACCCTGATTTTTTTTTTTTTTCTTTACTCATATTTTCGGTACCTACATCTCGTATGTGTGTATATACTTTGCCGTACTTTTACGGATATATCGCCTCCCCGACGTCGCAACATCACAATACCTGATACCTATATACCACAACAATGTAATCACTCGCATACTTATAAAAACAGAGGCAACTAACGCATCACCTGTTGTGTGGATAAGCCAATTAATCTCTATTTCTCCGACTAGTTTGATCACACACGGTCATTTATGTAACAATAACATATAGGTGTGTGTGTGTGTGTGTGTGTGTGTGTGTGTAACTCTTGTACAGCCACTGCAGTTTTGTACAGAAGCAACTCATTCGACTGAATATACGTGTATGCATCACCCGCAATATTTTCCTCATCCCCCGTTAAAAGACAATCCGACGCGACGCTGCTGCTGTAAAATCAACGCTTTCGCGCGCTCGTTACAAAAACCCACGTGTATTATCATATAGCGCCGCTCCAAGAAGATGGCGAATTCTATTTTTTCAAACGGAGACGTATACATAATATATAAACGATGATAAAAATAAACAAAGAGCCCCTCCCCCCCCCCCCACCTGTAAGTACACCGACTCGACTCTCTCCCATGCCTGAAAAAAAAAATTGCATCCTCGTCCCACTGTAACGCGCAAATTGTACAGTACTTTAAAATGCCGGTGTGCCGCGACTGATCACGCGTGGCCCTCATATACATCACACGTATTATTGTATACCTATACGATAATTCATACGAATCCGCGAGGGAGGCGAGCGAGCCCGCATATACGGGATGTTGGTACCTATACATTAAGTTGTCCTGGTGTGGCTCGAGGAGACCCGCTGATGTGGTGCGTTGGGTGAGGTCGTCGTCGAGGACTCGAGTTCGAGTCACGAGCAAATAACTCATGCTCACGTACTGCCGATGAGGAAAAATTAATTACGGAAAACAAAGCGCGTTAAGAATTATGATGATGAAAGAAACAAAATGACAAATCACAGGGGTTGAAGTATCACGCGCTTACGGCGAGAAGGAAGAAAATGAAGAAGAAAAACCCTTAATCACCCCGTATATATCACCGTGCACGTACTCACACGTAATTAATATTATTATTATTATTAATAGTACATAAATATGTGCGTTGTCGTCGACGCCGCTGCCGTTTTCACGTCTTTATTGTTCATTATATTATATAAATACATATATTGGGGGGCATCAGTCGAGTCAATTTAAAGAGTTTGCCCGGGAAGTATATAGTTTGAGTAATTACCGATCGTGTGCTTTCTGCTGCAGAACCACCTTCGGCNTAATAATAATAAAGTAAATAAGACGAGCGGTGAATTACACAGAGCCTGTGACTGAGAACACTATATGTATAATTATACAAAGTATATAAGCATCAATCGAAACATTAAATTAATAAATGTTGACCAGTGTTTTTCACACTTCAGAAAATGTTTCATATTAATGGTGATTGTTGTTGATGCGCGGAAAGAAATTTTATCGCTAAAATTGACGTGTTTGCTACATTGGAAACGCACTTGACTTTTCTTTTTTTAATCAACTTGTTGATTTTCATTTAAATTCCTAACGAACTGCGAATCATAGAATTCAAATGGAGACTGAATAAATATCGACACTGCTGAGACTGAAGTACACAATCGCGTTAACTAATATATACAAAACTCAATTGTACATAAATACGCCGTGAAAAAATAAAAATTGTACATATTTTTTTTTATTTGCAGTACAAGAAGTAATAATAGTAGAGACATTTTTAAACGATCAACTGTATAAGTAACGGGTATGAAAAATACAATTTTTATTTAAGTTTACAAAGGATATACACATTATTTTACGTAATTTCGCTGATGTTTGAAAAAAAAAGTTTCCGATACATTACGAATCTGTTGAATTAACTCAAAGTATGCGTCGTCGTGATAAACTAATCGACTGATAACTTGTGACACGAAACAGAAACAGTGCCATGCTAATTTTATAAAAGACTGTACGATAACAAGATAAACACGTTGTACAGCAATTTTCATTAATTTATGTAAAATTTTTCATAGCATCAGTGACAGCATAAATGACTGCCATTTATTTTCAAACAAACGCGAGACTTTACGAGTGATTTTATTCAAACTCTTCACGCGTATATACATCGTATAATTACTCATAACGATGTAACCTTGCCAGCGGGAAACATCTTTTTTTTAATATAAAAAGAAATTCAAACATGTGTGTTTAGCAAAACAGATAAAATACCAATCAATTGTCAAAATGAAAAAAGACCCGTGATTATTTCTAGAGTTTTGCCATATCACTTTTAAAATGATTTGATAACCCTTGTCACGGCCAGAAGCAATATTTTCCGAAATTTGAGCGCGCAGTAAGGTATTGACAAAAGAAAAAAAAAAAAACTTAAAACGAGCGTACAACTCTTGCAACACTGGGATCCTTTTTTTCGTATAAGGTACTAGAACTGAAACGAATTGCTATTTCAACAGCAATCTTCGCAATGTTTCAAGTGCTTTTCCAATCTGTCAAAAAACACAGCAATTTCTGATCCATCGAACATCGTATACGTGCGCAACACATGGTTTCCCTCCGCGTGAAAACACAAGTTGACGAAGAAAAGAGAACAAGATATTGCGATGACATTGCTGTAATTGTATACGGTCGATTGGAAAAATTGGAGTCTTGCGCTGCCCTCATTATCTTTTAACATCCTTTTTCCTCTTTTTTTTTTTCATCTTATACCCGCCATGCCATGTATTCAAGCGTTTTAGTTTTGTTCTTGGCGAGAGCCCAATAATCCCAAAGCAATAGTACTTCTTAATTTTTAAACACGCAAACATGACGATGCATACACACGTACCTGCCGAGGACGATCGGGGCTCGAAATTTTCCAAGTCGACCCTCACGTAGGTAATTTTTTACGAAGACAAAATATGTAGTTTATAGATAATGGATGAACAAATAAAATTAAACGTTATCGATTACCGTAGAAAAGAATAATGAGTAAAGGAAAAGATAAAAATTTAGTAATAAAAAAAAAAAAAAAAAAAAAGTATAAAATTTACGCTATCGACTTAATAAATTAGAGGACGAGAGCCCAACCAACGAATAGCAATATGAATATTATATGTAGAATCTGTAGAGGCAGAGCTTAGGCGAGCTGTACGTCGGCGATTAAAAAAACGACGTCTTTACAGTCTTTCAGATATTTCTACCGAATGATGATATTTACGATTATTTAGGCGAGCGAACAAGTGAAAAAGTAATAAAGTAATTGAGAGACAAAGAATTATCATTATTATTATTATTGCTATTGTCGGCATAATTATACAATGTTATGAATTAATTAAACTTTACGCGATATACATAGTCAACGAGAAATAAGTAGATAATAATATTTATTGACCACAAAATCATTATGGTAAAAGCTGATAATTATTATAACATTGATTAAAGTATCTATGTAACAATACGAATAAACGATTGCTTACGTTGTATTATTTATAACAATTTTATCAGCTTTATATTTTTGCTTCTTTTATGACCGTTGCTGCAATTTTTATTGTAATTTTTGTTGCAAGATTACTTTCACAACGAACTCCATATTATCATTGCCCATGTGTTATTGTAGCATTATGAATATCAACTGCGCCTATCGTTACAATTATTAATATAACAGTTAAATTGTATTTATAGCAATCGCGAGCTTCAATTTCGTAGAATAGTTATATATTACATATTATATATTATATATATTTCCGCTCTTCGAGAGGTACAGATGCGCAGAGCAAATAAAAATGAATTCATTAGCATTCCTTATTTTTGGTTTTTCCTCATTTTGCTTGATTAAATAAATATTTATCAAAGACTGCCTATGTACGTGTATACACGAGCGCTTACTCGAGAAGCAATAAAAGAGAAATTTTCGACCGCACGCACTCGGAGAGGACCTCGGTCTCGTGCGTTGCGATGGAAAAGAAAAAAAATTTCGTTCTCCCATCGAGTGAGAGAGGAAAACAAAAAAACGACGAGCCTCGCGAAATTGACGCGTCCTTGGAGAAATTTTTTTTATTTTTTTTTTTATTTTTAGAGCCGTTCGTTTATCAAATGTTGCGAACGTGAGCGCAAACGCTAATGAAAACGAAAAAAAAAAAAAAAAAAAAAAAAAAAAAAAANAAAAAAAAAAAAAAAAAAAAAAAAAAAAAAAAAAAAAAAAAAAAAAAAAACATGCCAAACGAGAGGCCATGACTGGACACGTATACACACCACATCAATATACATCGATACAAAAAAATGCACAGCGGCAAAAACAAATACACGCATAAGCTCCTCTACGTGATTACGAGCATAAGAACGAAAAAAATGATACTACATGATTATACAGCGAGAATGCAAGTGAGCGAGAGAGAGAGAAAGTCGCGCGAACGTGTAGGAAAGAGGAAAAAAAAGACCACTCCATTATACACTAACGAATGCTAACGATTGTCAGAATCAGGGAGAGGGGTGCGCCACCCCCGCCCCCGCCCGCCACCTCGGCTACCAACGTGCATTCGAAGAAAAGGTAAAGAGACCAGAAAAACCATCCGAGTTTTCGGCGCCCTACACCACCACCACCACCACCTCCTGTTATGTATACCACTACACGTATAACCGGAAAAGTGTCTCGAGAGGCAAGAGAGAGGAGCGAAACCTGCGAAAAGGGGGTTGAAAAAAACCAAACGGGTGAAAAATTAAAAAAAAAAACAACAAAAACAACAAACAAAAAAAGACGCAAGCTCGTCTCAAAGAGAGCTCAAACCTACCACTGCACGGGGTGATTTGCAAAGAAGGGTGGGGGGAGGGGAGAGCTCGAACGGCACGCGATTTGTGAATATTTCAAGCTATTAATTAGCTGGCTCCCTAATTACCTTTCCAATTAGCGATGGGCGCAGAAGCTTCGAAATAAACAAAAACAAAAAAAAAGAAAAAAAGCCGCGTCGCGCACTCATTTTCATCGTCTCCCTCTCTCGCCCCTCTGACTTTCATACGAAGCAAGACACTATGCAATTTACAAGTATATATATATATAATAATAATATATACCGCAGTCTCAGCCGGTTATGCGTTCGTCGTGTATGTAACATGTATAACTCTCCATACACAACCACGTAGACGACCAGCGTATTTACAATATGTACAACATAATAATATGAAGTATCGCTCTGCTTGTGTAAATATTTGTATCCGTGTTGCTTTTTTTTTTTTTATTTTATTATTTTTAGTTTTGGCACCATGTATTGTCGCACCTCTGCCTGCTTTTATACATATTCTTGTATATAATATATATATATTTACATGTATGTTTATTTATATGCACCAGTTCCATTATAACACATTCTGTAGTATATTATGCAAATACATTGTATTACTTTTAGACTCGTGTGAATGTTTCTTTTACATTTTTTTTTTTTTAATTTGTAATTATTGTTGTATGATGTATAAAATAAGTACGTAAGTTTGTATCATAGCACAAAGTTTAATTATAAAAACTTCCATGAATAATAGAATTTATATATATATACACATACGACGTCGCGCGACCTATAAATAATACAAACTTTGCTATAAATGGTACGAATAATCATGAAATACGTGTAATTGTAATGTGTATTATAAAAAAAAGCGTTTGTGTGTGTGTATATATACGTATATGCTCGAGGTGTACGTGCTTTACGAGATCTGATGCGCGTGTCCGACAAAACGTAAGTATAAGTAATACACCTCGTGGCTCCCAAAAGTTTACGATGGCCGATAAACCGCTGTTATTGTCATTAGTGAGCAATTTTGTAGCAAAACACGGACGAATAGGCCGTTTCGTGTATAAATATGTGTGTGCCTTGGTAGTCGGCAGTAATGCCACTTCCGTATACGAGTGCCACCTGTAGCGTTAAACTGTAAAACTATAAAAGTGGTACCGCAGCGGAACTACTGCACCATCGACCCCCTACGGCCATATAACTACATAATATATATACCTTTACCCTTAAACCACTTTACACCATCGATGGATTGTGTTGTATGTGCAGCGAGACGATTGATCCTCGCGAGAGCGAGCGACTTCACTAGGATTCCTCTCCGTCTCTTTATTCGTACAATGTTTATTATGTATGGTTTTGACGATACGTCGCATATTGAGCTCACGCGAGGATCGATTGCCTCCAAGTTACAGTATAATATGCCCCCTTCATTCAATTGTATTTATGTAACTCTAGTTTTTATCACTTATTATAATTATACATTATATATATATCAATGCATACACTTGTACGTAATTTTTGTAAATACGAATGAATATCTCGATCATCAACATAGTTTAAACACCTGTGAGTGTCCAATCTTTTCATCAAATATTATAAATAAATGAATACACACACGAATCATATTATATATTATAAACTTATTATTATGATTAATGGTATATATATATTATTGTTTCATATTTGAGGATTTGTTGAATAAATCGAATCGAAATGATTGAAACCTCTAAACCCTTGTAGACGTCCAAATTATTTCATTCAGCTCATTATATTCATTGTTTACCCGTAATATCCTCAATAATTTTACACATATATAGCAAAGTTGTTTGATAAAGTCCACATTGTGCAAAACACAGCTATAGCCATTTTTTCATTGAACAATGCAATGAAGCAATGATGGACTTGATTAAAGCATCCTATAGACAAGAATGTGTTTAACGAGTTCAACCAAATGTTTTAGTAATACATTATTTCGAGCCCTTGTAAATATCACACCTGAATCATCAAAGATCTTCCTTCACTATTGCAAATCACGAATTTTTAATTTTAGAACGATTGAACCCTATAGAGTACCACACAAATAGTGCAACCCAACTTTAGATCGTAAAACAAATGAAATAAAGCCACCAGCCCCTGAAAAATCAATGGAACGATACTTGTTTTTGAGTAAAAATATTTGCAAAAAAGAAAAAAAAGTAAAGAATTGGAGACGTAAATGATGAAAAATGAAAAGGGGGCTGAGTGGGCTTGCGGGAGAGATCGTGTAGCAAATAGAGGGGGAAAATTGGTTATCCATGAATGAAAGCTAAGTAATGTTTGCTTTGATGTCGGCTACAGGAGCACGAACCCCCTGGCGCCGGACGCGATCGACCTGACCCAGCTGAGCTCGGTGGGCGAGTGGTTGGCCTCGATCAAGATGTCGCGCTACGCCGAGAGCTTCGAGCGTGCGGGCGTCACGACGCTGGAGGCCGCAGCGCGGGTCACCGTCCAGGAATTGACGGCCCTCGGGATAACCCTCGTCGGCCACCAGAAGAAGATCATGAACAGCGTGCAGGCGCTCAGGGCCCAGATGTCCGCCACGTCGCAGGGCTTCCTCGTCTAGCCCGCGCTGCCTCGGCGCTACGAGGAGATCGAGCTCTTACTCACCCGCTGACTAGCGCCGAACGACCCCCAGAGGGTCTACGCGGTCATAGAGGACTACTACTACCGCCGCGAACACTTGGACCAACAACAACAACAACAACACCACCACCAGCAGCAGCACAGAGGCATCCACGTCGACGACGACGAGGACGACGACGAGGACGATCGTGGCCGGATGATGATCGACGAGATCATCGAGGACGACGACGACGACATGCTGGTGGCAGCAGAACAGCAGCAGGTTATGTTCGACACCGGTAGTCGGGAGTTCGATGGCTTTGACTTTGACGACGGCTGCGTTATCACGACTGCCGGGCTGCCCGCAACGGCTGCCGTTTACAGGCGCAAGTGTTACTCCCCCGACTTTGACACGAACACGATAAGTCGGCTCTAAATCGTGAGACGAAAACCCGGCAGCGGACGATTCGGTGTTCCCTGTGCGGGAGTTTTCGCGAGTTCTCGCCATTGATCGTGTCCATATATTTATGATGTGCGACCTGTGGAAAAGAAACTGCTTTTTTTATTCTAAATAAGAGTACCGTTCTAATTNCAGCTGATCGAGCTCTGTTCTCTTGAACTCGTTGCAATTCTTTCCCTTTGCATATTACGTCCTATCGTTTCTTGTTACGTTGAGATGGATGATGGATAGAAATCGGTCTGAAAATCGGTAATTTCATCCGAGGGACAATTCTGAAATAACATTTGAGTCTCAACACACGAGTAGGTCCTCTTCTATTGTTCCACTATTGAGCTTCATTATCGTGTTGTTTTTTTTTTTTTTTTTTTTTTTACGTGAAACGAGACGCGACGAGCGCACGGAGAGTCGCCACGTGATTCGGGAAAATTAGTTCGGCACCGGCCGATGGCCTATACTATTGCGTGTGCGCGTGTGTACATAATTTTTGTCCTTTTTTTAAAGATTTTTTATTTATTTTTTTATTACCGTACGCGAGTGAGCACATTTTAAGCTGCCGTGTTCATCACTCGACTGCCATATATTGAAAGTACGAACACACTGCCTGTTGCCCTGCATCATACGTATCGTATACACATTTATATACATATACATGCATTTTTTACTTAAGTTTTCTAACTAATGTACTTAATACAATGAAACGGCCTATTGAGCAATGTTTTGAGATTCGAACGTTTTACATTTTGATGGGAGCTTGCCAAAGATGATGGTAATTTTTTTTTTTCCATACGAATCATCCGTGTCGCTTACTCTATACGTGCGCTCGTCCCATGAGTGATTGAGTGATTTGGATGCGTGCTAAAAAATCTTTCTTTTTTTTTAAAATTTTTTTTATACTAATCATAGATGTATATGTACAATACAATAGATATTTATATATTATCTTCGTTTATCGAGTGTGCTTGTCTGTATCCGCGTGTAATAATTATAAAAGCGTGAACACGAAAAATTTTCGATTTACAAAGGATACAATTCTTGCCTTTAGCGTTATCTAGATACGTATACACATAATAGATGATTTAACATGTACGTATATATGTATGTACGAATATAGAGTAATAAAAAAAAAATATAAATATATATTTACGTGTACATACGTATGCACCTACGTGAGTGCGTTTGTGTACGTGGTCTGTGTGTAGGTACCTGTCACTTATATCAAAATGGAGAAACGTGCCAATGCAAGAGTAAGAGAGAGAGAGAGAGAGAGAGAAAAAGAAAGGAAAAGAGACAGACTCGAGTGAGTGAATGTTGAGAAAGAGAGAGTGCATTCAAGAGGTGGAGGCAAGGGGATGAACGTGACGCCACGAGATAGCAAGAATGAGAGAGTGTCTGTTCGGTGAGTGCATTTTCAGAAGCGGTCCCCGTCGCTTCGTGCTTATTATTGTACATTGCGCCGATCTTTCTACCGTATACACATTTTATATTTGTGTGAGTAATAAAAAAAAAAAAAATAGAAGAGAGAGAGAGAGAGAGACGTGTATCAAATCATTTCGAAGGAAAAAAAAAAAAAAAATTGTCAGACCTTTCTTTCCAAGCGACTATACATTATATACTACATCGATTAAGAATATGTACATATTATGCACTGCACGAATCGTTTTTTGTTTTTTTGTTTTTTTTTTTTTCCTATCATACGCTAGTGAAATTTTACGAGTAATTGATGTTAAGGGTACTTTTAGTTATATCGAAAATTATAAAACTCGTGAGCTTGAAAAGAAAAAAAGAAAAAAATTGTAAATATGCATATATGATTAATCAATAATTATTTATTTTAAGGTGATTGTACTTTGATATTTGAGATATATAGATACGTATTTATTTAGCGAAATCTTGTTAGGTCCATGTTATTTGCGGCGGGACGTGTATCGACGAGAACTTGAAACGCGAAATCGAAAGTTCTTGGAGAGGAAAACCTGACAATTTCGAATTAAAAAACGCAAAAAGGCGATAACGTATTAACCGATCGTTTTGGCGTAAGGAAGTAAAATAATAATAATATTGTTAACAATAATGATAATTAATAGTAAAAGTAATGAAAAAAAAACGTTCTGTATCGCGTTCCTCGGTATCATGAACATATCAATAACATGAACTCGGTGAGCGAACGCGAGCGAGCAACAAACAAACGAAAGGTTATACGCCGCGCGGCTCTGACAAAAAAGAAAAGGTCCAAGTAAGAAGGAAAAAAAGCCTCTTGAGCGTCGAAGCAGAAACTGTTTGAAAGTGCGCCAACACATCGAAAATTTCAGTCTCTGCGTGCAGCTGTAGCAGCACACACAAATACAGACCAAGTCTTAAAGTTAAGACGAATCTACGTCCATTCCACTTAAGATTAAGTCGAGAGATGTAATGATTGAAATACGAGCCTATTAGAATCGGAAAAAAATAGTAAACGAGAATAAATTAGCTCGGGATTACTTCGATGTCCCCTCGAAGTATGTATTCCCTTATATCGTTGCACATATACAGAGAAAGAAAGATGCCCAAATGAATAATAATATAATTAGTCTAGCGCACCGTCGCTAGACTATCGAATCACAACAAAGTATTTTATAATGCTTTTTGATCAATTTTTTT